TAAGAAATGTCAAAAATTAAAAACATGAACAAGAACAGAAGGAATACAGTATTGAAAGATGTAGATCTGAGAATGAACTCATTTGTATCTAACACCTGTCTTGTTGAAACCATTCTAAGTAATTAAAACCACAAATTAGAGCTTTATTACTGTATATGGCACCTCCCTTAATTCATTTCTTCAGTCACTTAGTTTATAAACAAAATAAAATAGTCCAACTGAAAAATGTATTAGGTACTGAGCATACAAGGAAATAAGATCATCTTAATTATACATGATAGACAGATGTGGAGTCCTGGTGGTTTAGTGGTTATGTGTTGGGCTGCGATCTGCATGGTCAGGAGTTCAAAATTACTAGCAGCTCTGTGGAAGAAAGACTGAGCTCTCTACTCCCTTAAGCAATTACATTCTTTCAAACCCACAGGGTCACTATGGGTCAGCAGTGACTCAATGGCAGCAAGTTTTGATTACATGATGGAAGGGTGCAGACCTATCTGTTCACGAACACTTGTACTTTGTAGCTGAAACACCTGTCAAACATTTTAGCAGAGTAGATACTTCAGAAAGTACAAAATCAATTTGATACAATAAGATATGCACCTGCAAAACTTAATTGCTATTATTCTACATTGTATACTTCATTTCTCCTATTTGCATGGCACTTTCAGATTTTCCAGGTACTTTCCTAAGTAATCACATCTGTTAATAGCTCCAGCATACATAACAAAAGTTTTTCTTTTAATAATTAGGATGAGTTATTAACTAAGTCAAATTCACAAAGCAGAGCCACTAGAATGCATTCCTCTACTTATTCTTTGCATTAAACTAGCATATTTTATGCATAAAATCTTTGTAATATGATGAGAAATCAGAACGACAGATATATTTCAAACATCCCCACTCTATGTTACCAAACTCAGGCATAGTCTCAGGCAGTTTCCACACATGCTGCTAGGGTAATTCAAATTGGATATCTAAACCTATCATTATATAATACAGCTTTAATTGTTTCTTATCATATTAGTTAATGATTATTACATACACATATGAAGTAAAAATATAAATTTTGCTTTACAGTTTATTTCCTGATCATTTCATTTCCATGGACTTAAATAACCTAAGACTATGTAAGGATAAAACCAACAAGATAATAAACCAGCGCTGTCAAAGTTGATTCCAAATTATTATGGTGCAAAGGACAGAGTAAAGTACCCAGGGCAGTTTCCAAGCTGGTCATTTCTAGGTGTCACCTGCGTCTGCCTCTGGCCGAGCAGCTGGGGAGCTCCACTACGGACTTGTAGGTTAGCGGCAGAGGCTCTAGTCTCTGTGCCAGCAGGGCTACTTGGGAAGAAAGTCTTGAAAGTAAACTCTCATTCAAGGGGAACTTATAGTACAATAGAGAACAACTCCTTCATTTTTCCAAGACTACTTTTTAAAAACTTTTCATTGCAATTTAGATGGAAGTTTGCATAGAGAATCATGTGTTTTACATTCCACAATTTATAGGCATTTTGTTTCCACTCATCCACTTCCATCCCTTCAATGTAACCTGTGTCCTTTCCCCAGTATTTCCTGTTTCCATTCCTTCCTCTTTCCTAAACTTTTGTCCTTCCTAAATGTTAATCTGTTGGTCTTAAATGGTTGATTCACCTAACAAGGCTATGAGCTCCTTTTCAGGTCAGAGAGGTAACAGTGTGATAGACTTGTTCAGTCTCTAGCTGACCAATGAGCCTGCTCACTCTTATGAGCTTGGGTTCTGTGTGAAGCTGGGCTGTAATTGGTAGAGAAACAAAACCAATGACACCCATCTATGTATGAGAAGAGCTTTATATCAAGAAGTAACTTAATATCAAGAAAGCACCCCAGCCCAGTTCAACTCAAGTCCATGGGTCTGATGCCAGCTGGCACCCGCTTCGAGCTCTCTACCTGACTGCCAATAATGCAAAAGGGAGACGATGGAAGCAGGAAAATCACAGACAAGTGCTGGAAGAATCACGTGCATCCACGATGAGTGGAATCAGGGCAGAGCACCAACATTTCCAAGGTCGGGTGTCCCACCTGAGGCAGCACCGACTCTGAGGCAGACACTGAGTCCCAGGGAAGTCTCAGTGAGGAAGAAGGTGAAGGGGAAAAGAAAGAGGACATCCCCAGTTTCTACCTAAAAGAAGTCCACACTTACAGTTCCTACCTAAAAGAAGTAAGCATCATCAGGCTGTGACCTGACTGACAGGTTGGACTCCACCCTTCCACAAGTGCAAGTTGACATAAAATCTCACTACCATAGGTTCTGTTCTACCTTTTTCTCCCACTCAAGCCAACACCTTCTGTAAGAGAGCAAATAGGCAGCGTCACCTTCTCATACAGAGCACCCTTGGGTTTGAATGTCTAACCAGAGGGTTGAAGTTCAATGCTTAACCTACAGGGCAATGCACTCAACCAAACCAAAGGCATTGCCATTGAGTCAATGCTGAGGCACGGCGATCCCCAGTGGGATTTGTACAGGATACTGTAACTGTATTGGGAAGTCTAAACCCAGTCTTTCTTCTCAGTTTCTGCTAATGCTTTGGAGGTCCCAGCCCAATACGTAACCACTTCACTGCCATGGCTGATTTTTCCTTTGTGTTCTGAATTATTAATGTACTCAACATAAATTATCCCTTTTTTAGATAGTTAAAGGGCTATTATTTATTAAGACCATATTACTCAGTCCTTTAAATCTTCTCAGTGCACCCTTTATCCCTATGAATTACATTCTAGCATATCCTGTTCTTTTGATAAGTATGTTGAGGCTTAGAAAGGTTAAGTATCTTGTTTAAATGTTGAAATGATGATGGGACCAGAGGAAATTGGATTCTAAAGCATTTTTCAATTTAACACCATGCTTAAATGGTTCTTGTTGCTTATGGTTCCCTGCCCAGCATGTGTGTGTGTCTTTGCACACACACACACACACTCACACACACACTTCAATGGTGGACCCCTTGCAATCCTATAGTACAGACTAGAACTGCCTTTGTGAATTTGTGCGTGTGGCTTTACACACACACACACACACACACACACACACAATCAGTGGTGAACTCCTCGCAATCCTATAGTACAGGCTAGAACTGCCTTTGTGAATTTGTGTGTGTGGCTTTACACACACACACACACACACACACACACACACACACACCCCCCCCACACACACACAGAGTCAATGGTGAACTCCTCACAATCCTATAGTACAGGCTAGAGCTGCCCTTGTGAGTTCCCGAGGCTGGAGCTCTTTGCTGGAGGAGGAAGGCCCTCTCTCTGCCCGAGAGTGGCTGGCTGTTTCAAGCCACTGGCCTTGTGGCTTGCAGCCCAACACGTCACCACAACACCATGTGATATTAAAGATCTCCCTGCAGCTCCCGACTTTGGGTATTACCTTAATCATTCTCCAAATGCATATACTAAGCCTCAAAATTAAGCATCCATGTTAAATCCTACAGGAGAAAAAGAAAAGTAAAAAGTTGGTAGCTCTGTCACTTAATAATGAATCAGTCAAAAATCTCTGTCTAGTAGAATTTTATTAGGTTCCATTTTCTAATTGGGTGGACTCTTGTAAGAAGCTGCCTTTCCTTGGTTCATTCGAATTTAAGGAGGGCACATAGGCACACCCACTATCACAGACACTGTGACCCAACATTAATTTCTATTCTCCCAATCCAGAGTTCTTATAATCGACAGCAAAACATTCTGGGTATGGAAAGTTACATATAGCAGTAGGAGTGAGTATTAAACCAGAAGGTTGGTTTTGAATACATCAGATTACAGTGGCTGAAATGAAGCTATATAAGCAAGATATACAACATAGAACTAAAAAAATCTATGTAAGAATAATTCAAAAGTAGAAGTTAAACAAAATTGATAGGCTATTGACAAAGTAGTAAAGCTGACATAGAATTTAGAGACAAGATGCCATGGAGAGCATGCACATCTGGTGGTTTGAAGTATTTACAAAAGCAAGCTTTTGAATTTGCAACTGAAAAGGTTTGACAGAAGGAGTCATCCGTAGAAAGAAGGGGTGGTGAAAATGAGTTCATAGTGCCTACTGTACTTCGGTCAGAGCTGCACAGTCTTTCCTTCTATCTGATATACTTTTCTTGCACTCTATCCTCAATGAAACCCAGAGTTTGACATTCTGTTAGTTCTTGAGCTATAGTACTCACTTTCTATCTGTCCTAAATGCTGGAACACATTGAATTCCTTGTCTAAATATCTGTTATTAGAATACTAGCAAAACCATAGCTCCCAAATCCACATAAAGTTTTTCTGAATTACTGAGCTATCTAACCCTTTGAGTTTAACATTAATTGTCCTAAAATTGGTGACTAAAGCAGATAACATCCAAATTATTTTTATAAAAAGAATACCATTTTAAAATATAATGCATATGTTGCTTTTGTATGCCAACAGTAATGAGATAGTATCAAGAACCAGCTACTTAACCCTATAAAGAGATGGAGGCAGATTTATGAGCAGTGGATTATATGCTTACCCAAATTCAGAAGCACTGCTACATTTCTGGCCTATTCACAATATAAAGGAAAAATAGGCTTGTAATACTATGAATAAGAAAACTCTAAATGCCTGGTACATTTTTTTTATCTTTCAGTGCCCCCCCACACACACCTAGCAAATACTGCTAATTTAGGTATTTGAATCTCTATTATAAGCAGAAGATTCATCCCTAGTTGATGCACTCAAACCTCTCTTTCATCAGTAACTTCCCATTCCCGGGTGTATTAACAGTACCTTGCTGTTGCAACAATACTTTGAAGATAAAGCAAGGTCACTCCGTTCTCTTTGATCTCTCATTTCATTTTCATTAGAATGACCTTCTCTCTTAATGTATTTCATCCTTTGTTTTATTGTCTAGCATTTACATGTCTTAAAAGTTCCTGCTTAAAGAATATGTGTGATGTATGTGTGTGTGTGTGTGTGTGTGTGTGTGTGTATTCCTATAGTAATTATTTCCCAGTCCTCATTGCTAAAAAGTCCAACTGGTTGATGTTAACGGTTTTAATTACATTCTCCAGTAATCTAGGTTTTAAAATTGCACCTCTGTGCTTGTGGTTATAAACCCCTTTGGGAATGGAATATTTGTTATATTGATGAGTATTATTGCAAGTGTGTCTTGAACCATTTTGTTCTGAAATATAAAAAGAGGTTATACCAGCTTCAAATTCACCCACACCAGCAGCAACGATGAGGACAGCACAGTCAGCCTGTGATGTTCCTGTAATCATGTTTTTAATGAAGTCTCTGTGTCCAGGGGCATCGATGATGGTCACATAGTACTTTCTGGTCTTAAATTTCCACAGGGAAATATCAATGGTGATGCCACGTTCCCGTTCGGCTTTCAGCTTATCCAAGACCCAGGCAGACTTGAAGGAGCCCTTTCCCATCTCAGCAGCTTCCTTCTCGAATTTTTCGATGGTTCTCTTGTCGATCCCACCACATTTGTAGATCAGATGACCAGTTGTGGTGGACTTGCCAGAATCGACGTGTCCAATGACGACGATGTTGATATGGGTCTTCTCCTTTCCCATTTTGGCTTAGGTTTCTGCGATGGTTTTCACCGACACCTATATTCTGGCGGCAAACCCGGGTATTTCCAAGAACGGGCAGACCCGTGAGCATGCCCTTCTGGCTTACACACTGGGTGTGAAACAACTCATTGTTGGTGTTAACAAAATGGATTCTACTGAGCCACCCTACAGCCAGAAGAGATACGAGGAAATTGTTAAGGAAGTCAGCACCTACATTAAGAAAATTGGCTATAACCCTGACACAGTAGCATTTGTGCCAATTTCTGGTTGGAATGGTGACAATATGCTGGAACCAAGTGCTAATATGCCTTGGTTCAAGGGGTGGAAGGTTACCCGTAAGAAAGGCAATGCCAGTGGGACCACACTACTTGAAGCTCTGGATTGCATCCTGCCACCAACCCGCCCGACTGACAAGCCCCTGCGCCTCCCTCTCCAGGACGTCTACAAGATTGGTGGTATCGGGACTGTCCCTGTGGGCAGAGTGGAAACTGGGGTTCTGAAACCCGGTATGGTGGTTACCTTTGCTCCAGTCAACGTTACCACTGAAGTGAAGTCTGTTGAAATGCACCACGAAGCTTTGAGTGAAGCTCTGCCTG